AACAACAACAACAACAACAACAACACTTTCCAATTAATGAAAGTTAAAGAAAAAAAAAAAAATCCCTCTCAATATCATGTCAATGTGGAACACAAAAGTTAAAGCAACCCAGGGAATTATCTGTCTATCCACTGCTTCCTTTGTGAGCAGTCTTCCACCTTCTCGAACTACATTTAGATGCAAGCAGCACTAACTGGGAATTTGTGCCCTCACTATAGTAAGTGAAACGTTTGCCTTTGCCAGAAAACATTTTGATTACCAGACATACTTTTGTGGAAAGGACTCATTTTCATTTGCTGTCTTTAAAGTGCAGTTTTGCTGTGAAACTTTCAGCTTTGCTTATGATTCTTGCGACAAATACAGCAGCACAAAAAAGAGAAAGAATCCAAGTAGTGTTGTATAGAATTGCGTGTGTTATGAACATTTCTGGTCCAATGAGGAAGCTGTGCTATATTTGAGTGCTATACTATATAGATGTATAGTTTGCACTCCGTTTTCTTTGTATCTGGAAAATGAAAGTAATTTAGTGATTACAGGTCAATCAATTTGCTCCAATAATCTGCATAAGTGAACACAAACATAGCTCTAGCTCTAGTTTTTGATGACGACAGTTTGTGAAATCACTTCTCGTGTGAGAGTTTTGTGTTTAAGCAAAGATGTAGTTATAAAGCCTGATGCAGTTACTGTGGTAGTGTCATGACATTGATGTCACAACGCTCTGATGTTTCACAGCCCTTCCTGTGAAATGAATACAAATTAATACCACCACTGCAGGTTACACCTACCTGATTTGCATCTCAAAGATGCTGCACAACCAACAAGTGGTTTTCTGTTCTGCATTACGTCACGAGTACTTATAAGACATTTTAACTCTCATCTAAACACCTCTTAAAGTGGATTGGAAAGCTTCACACTTCATGGCCACATGATGTATTTGCAACAGTTTCAAGAGATGAACTTTTAATGGTGAATGGGACCTCAAGAGTGTAAAACAGAAAATAAACCCAGAGACAGAGTTGATATTCTTTACTATGTCCCAAGGTAGACAAACTCAGTATCTCTGCTCTGGCCTTTAGGAGAAGGGCTTAGACACAAGATCTCTTAATAATAATATCAGGAAAATACATTATAGCAATCTGTTAAAAAGAACAGAATTCTTTCTGAGAGGAAAAGAACAAGAAAAAAGCATCAGAATCAGACATCATCACATCACTTAAGTTTTATAATTTTTTTTATCCCAATTTACCTCTTCTGTAATTGAATCTAAAGATGATGTGGCTTCATCATAGAGAAAAATAAGTGGCTCCTTTAACATTGCTCTAGCAATCGCAACTCTCTGCTTTTCTCCTCCTGAATGGGGCAGGGGGAAAGTGGAGAGGAAGGAAAAAAAAAAAAGATGAAGTTACAACCATGATATTCTAAATTCAACAGCAGACATGACTGGGGTTTTTTGTTGTTTTGGGGTTTTTTTTTTTAATATACATCATAGTTGCTACTGATAAAGGTCTGCACATGTCCCATAAGATACCACACAAGTTCCTGCTCCCTGATAAATGCAAAGTGATTCAAGATTGCTTATCCTTTTAGAAAAGGACAGAGAACTACTTTGTATATGCTACAAGGCAAGAGCCTCACACAGGTAACTAGCGACGATGCAGCATTAAGTCACTCTATACACCAGGGAGTACGGGGTCATTTACCTGGTCTAAACCATGCCCCATACAGTAACTTCACATCCATCCATCCTCTTTTTTCCCACAAACAAAGCTCTGACCATGCCTGCTGTATTTGATTCCATGCATCTTGCACACGCATTTTTTCTTTCAAGTCTCTCCTTGAAATTCATCTAACTTCCCACGCCATAACGGCCCAGATTTCAAGATTCCAAACCTAACAGCTTTAACCAGCAAATTTCATTCAATAACACAATTTAATGTGGTACTGAAAACCACCTTCATTACACAATCTAGGGCCTGTTGGTTTCTAACGTAAGCAAGTTTCAGACTAGTTTCTTTCCTTCACAATTCTTACAGCCAACATCTACTCAAGAATAACTTAGGACAACTTTTACAGACAGGAAAACAGGTGCATTTGAGAACTTAAAATCTGCTAAACATTTGGTATGCTACGCAAACATTTCACATTTGTGCACTTGTCCTCCTTTGTTTTATTCAAGACTTCAAAATATTCTATTTAATAACGTTATATGCTTGTTAATGTTCCATTCCTATCAGGAGAGAACATGCTTTAATAAACCATTTAAAAGGCTGATAATAATGCTACAGTTCAAATTCTAAACTGTCTTTGGCAGAACTCGGTAGCAATTAGAATTTTACAATTTATGCAGTCTATTTTAATATACTCTCCCTCTCTCTCCTTTAAAGCATGTTCAAAACTCACAGCTTGACAATATCCACGTTTGAAAGACGTACTACAATAACAAAATCCAAGGTCTTTCCTTACATTTGTAGCATTGTTTCATGTTCTTCCCCATTCATATTCAGGACAGCAGCACGTTAACTGTTTTGTTCACAAAGTCAGGGTTTGGGGCTGTTATAGCTCTGTCTATTACACATCTATTAGAAAACACTGAAATGGATTCTACTTGAAAAAACCAAAACAACTTGGTTTTCATTATTTACTCTTGATGACTCTATCATTGAGACCAGTAAGAACTGCACTAAATGCTTTCTTCATCTTTTCAATTGATGAAGTTCTCATTGCAACCAAGACTTCCTTATGCCTATTTCCATATCATGCAAGTAAGGAAAACCACACTAGGGGAGAGGAACTCCGATACTGAGGCTTGTTATCCGTGCTGCTGCACTGCCATTGGGGACCCTTGGTTGTATTAAGGTTCTTGCCAATTATAAAAAAAAATCCACCACTTATTTTAAAATATCAAGACAGCACTTCTAACATACAATTTTCCAAGGTCAGTCCTCAAAGAAGTAAACTGTTCATTTACTGGAAGAAAAGAATCCATAACATACCAAATTTTTGCATACAGGGAGAATCCCATTTACTTACTATTTTTTAAACTTACCATTTGCTGTGCTCAGGTCTATTCACAGAACCAGGGCTCCAGATTAAGATCCCAGCCTTTACTAGCCCCAGATGTTACTGCTACTGTTCACACATCCAGGACATGCATTAATGCCATTTTGCTTTTCATTGAGACACCCACACCATGCCAATGGTCCTGAAAATCTCTTTTTTGCCCCCCCCCACCATGCATAGAAAATGCCTGGATTTCAAAGAGGGACACTTAAATTCAGAGTGCTTTCACTCCCCCTATTTCTTCCACAAAACATTGTTTAAAAAAAGATAAAACAAGTCAGGAATTGTCTTTTTCTTAGACTACAAGTGTAAGAAGCTTCACTCATTTAAAAAAAAATTAAACAGATTCAGAAATGTATCTAATATATACCTTTGTAACAATTTAGGGAGCCATTCTACTATTGAGAAACCTAGAAAGATTCAAAGTAACGGATGCTGTATTTTTACAGAACTACTGAAGGAACCCAAAACCAGGCATTTCACATCTCCAATCCATTAAACAACTAAACAATTTCTGGCCATTACAACTTTCATTATCAATGAAAATATTGATTTAACAAAAGCACACGGGATACAGTGACCGCATTAGTTCCACATTCCAACCTAAACCCACAAGCCAGCACCTGCAAGGGAAAGCACAAACTCCCCAAGAGCTGAGCACACAACTGCACTTAAGATCAACTCAATGCGCAATGGGAGGAGGCCAAGATGAGCAGAGATTTCTGAAAGCATTAGCCTAAGACTCTTGTACCCTGACTGCAAACATTGCTGAAGCTTGTTTATTACTGTTGTTTGCCAATACTCATCTAATTTGTTGAAAATAAGAAACTGAAGCTGCTACTTCAATGGCACACGCCCACTCCGAGCTCTTTTTCTATCACCTCAGAAATCCCGTGTCTTTCTCCTGAGAAGTATTTTACATACTTTTTTTTCTTTAAATACAAAGAAGACAAGAAAAGAACATACTTCCCTTCACTTTCTAAACACCACTTCTGTTAAAGCACTGTTAGACCTTCTGACCATAGCAGTAGCACAAAATGAAGGTTGGAATACAGGATAACTCATTTTCAGAAAGGCTCTGTTAAAGGAGTCTCAAGGTCAGAAGGAAACTCCAACATGCCAGCACACACTTCACCAGATTTAGAATAGGACACAGAATCATTAGGGTTGGAAAAGACCCTTAAGATCATCCAGTCCAACCATACACCCAACACTGCCCCACCACTGCTCATATCAGCCAGCCATTATAAATAAAACCAGTGTGTTTTGCTTTTTCAAAACAGGACAAAAGGAGATGGTTTGCAATAAACTTTGCAAATTTTTCTTCTACTTCTCATAATATCCACCAAGGAGGGGAAACCAATCCCATCAGTGAATTAAATGGGGAAACCTCATGAAATGAGTATCCCTTTTTATCTTGCATTAAAATATCTATTAAAAAACTGTAAGAGGTTTATTTTCTTAATAAAGCTTTATCTTTATTAAGAAGATAAAGACTTATTTAAAATATAATCAAATAACCTAATAATCATAATATATCCTTCAACCAAAACAGTTATTTCACTGTTGTTTAATTCAATGCACATTTAGTAAGTGTTAAATTTGTGATGTACATCATTAGCTTTGTCTCAATGCAACTCCAACTTAAGAAATTTGAAAGTATTCTAGTAGAATTTAGCTATTACCTAAAAAGTTATAAACTCTGTATTTTTAAAAATCCTATGTCTCCCCCCCCCCCCCAAAAAAAAAAAACAACAACAAAAAACAAAAAAGGACATGGGAAGTGTTTTAGTCATTTCCTAGTTTCCATGTGACCCCTCATCTTCCATTATCATTCCCTTCATTCTGCCACAGGAATGTTTGCTTTCAAGCATCATCTTCCATATGAAGAAGTGTATGTAATTTTAATATTACAGACAGTTGTGGAGGAGTAAAGTGATTTTGTAGAAGTGGCTCCAAAAGGCTAGCATGCCTAGCAAATCCTGGCTAATGCCATGATACAATCTTGCTAGTCTAGAATATTTATGCTGTTTTATACAGTGCATACCCAAATATGGAGGGGCTTTGAGAACTCATGTTTCTTTTGTTTACCAAGGCTGTGTAATATAAATCCATAGCTTGCAGATTCTCAGACACCATTTTCATGTTGTTTCTTACACAATTCATGGGTAAGAAACACAAAAGACATGGAGATCCTTTATGCTGCAGCAACGTATCCCATCTCACTATTAACAGCAAAACCAAAACACCACCTAACTTTCAGCTGTTACAAGTTCAGATTTAAGAACTCAAATTTGGAAAATCTACGCATATATATAAGCCTCTCATGTCCTACTTGGAAAGCACACAAAGTTCACAATACTATTCACAAGCATTCCACTACCGAAAGAGATCACGAAAAAGATTATGTTTACTTAGATGCACCTACGTGCTCATGTATTAACTCATTTGGGGGGGATTAGACTAGATGATCTTTCGAGGTCCCTTCCAATCCGTGACATTCTGTGATTTAACACTATCCCCTGAAAATAAATTCCTCTAAATATCTTGTAGAATACAGTTGCCTTAAACTATAGATCTTCATACTAATATTCAGCCTTACAACTATTTTCTAATGTAAATAAACTAAGAGCAAGTCTAACTGAGGAATAAACCATGCACTGGACCTTGAGGTAGCAAAAGGGATACAAAGAACTTGTGTGCTTAAGAACCTACCTGAGAGCTTGAGTCCTCGTTCACCAACCTGCGTGTTATAACCATTTGGCATTCGAAGAATAGCATCGTGGATTCCTGCCAACTTTGCTACTGCATACACCTCTTCAGGTGTTGCACCGATATTGCCGTAGAGGAGATTGTAATAGATGGTATTATGGAAGAGAACAGCATCCTAGATTTATGGAAATAATATTTTAAACAAGAAACTATGAACAATAGTTTAAAAACTGTCCCAAACCCATGAAAGAAATCAATACAGAACAGCTTATGTTTGTCTACAAAGCTTGCAGGTAAAAGTATTTGTGGAAATTTCTTTTTCCAAAAATGGGATGACTACATTTTCTGTCCTAAATATACATGCCATGCATAATTTAACCACTTTGCTAACTCATTATGGGTGGTCATCAACTATGAAGCTAAATCACTTAAATCCACAGGCAGCCTCTCATGAAGAGGCTTAAATACATTTCAGAAATTGGATCTATATGATGATGCACATAAAGACATAATATTTTCAAGGAGAAAAAAAACAAATAAACAAAAAAGCAGCAGCATGGTGACTTTCAAAGGAACTAGATAATACCACTACAGTAGGATTAGCCTTCATTGAACCACAGTATCAGAACACAGAATGACTATTATGATGGACTATCTGGGGAGAATGAAACACGGTACCTGTGGTACAACTCCAATTGCCTTTCTGAGACTTTCCAAACTGACATCTTGTATGTTCTGTCCAGCAATATAAATATTTCCTTTCTGAGGTTCATAGAAACGAAATAATAATCGCACAATTGTGCTTTTCCTGAAATTGAAAGGAATTGAACTTAATGTTACGTTCCTGGTTTGCCATTTACAATCTCCAAACAGAACTGATGTCGCAAACAAAAATAATAAAAAGCAAAACACAAGAAACAAAGACAAGAAACAAAATTCTGCATCATTGATTGGCGTATTTAGTCCATTTACCCACCCTGACCCACTACCTCCTACAATGGCCACTTTCTTTCCTGCAGGGACTTCAAAAGACACTCCAGCAAGGACTTTCTGCCCCTCAAGGTATTCAAAATGCACATTATCAAAGGTGACGGCAGCAGTCTGTGGTGTGATCTGTAGGGGTGGAGCCAGCTCTTTGTCCTATTAAAAGAAGAGTGCCACTTTATATGCTGCCCAGAAAGTATCTCAAGCAGTTCAGCAAATTGAACAGTCCATTTCATAGCTCAGAAAAAGGCAAACAGACACTCCAGCTTGGATATGCTGAAAATAATTATAATCCGTCACACAAATGAAATTGGTTTGTTCCTTTTTTTTCCCCAAAGAAGGTAAAAATTTCTGCTGTAAGCACTCTGCTTCACAACTGCTTTTGTGGCAATAAATTCTGCATCATTAATTACAAACAAAAATTCAAGTATAAGGCATGAATACTTAAATAAAAATATCTCAATATCAACACAGCTTCTGTGAAGTAACTTTTGCTGTCACTAAAAGGTTCTGCAAGAAAAAAAGCAGCTGCTATTGCGCTAACCGCACTTAAAAGAGGAGGCAGAACAGCTTCCTTACACAGTATCTTTTTCTTGCATAGAAATTAAACCTGGAAGGTAACAAATAAAGTGAAATGGCAGCAGTGCCAGAAAACAGCCCTATTAAATACCCAGATACTTTAGTAAAATAAGCTACTACTTACTTTAATTTTCGTATCTACACTGAGAAGTGTAAACAAGGTATTCATATCTATAAGTGCTTGTCTTGTCTCTCTGTATACTGTTCCGAGGAAGTTCAGGGGAAGAGAAAGCTGGAACAGCAATCCATTCACCATTACTAGATCTCCAACAGAGAGGCTGCCTTGAGACAAAATGGATGTGAGAAAATAAAGAAATGTGAAGGGTTGTCTTGTTAGGAAGCACCAAAAGATTTTAAAAAAATAATCAAGTCAATCAAATCTAGTTTATTTTATCCCATTTCTAAAACGAGACATTTAATTAGTAAACAAAATATTTTCCCAGATGATCAGATTTTATATAGAAAGGTGGCTGAAACAAATGGCAACGTTGGAGTGTATTCCATTAAAAAAAAAAAAAAAAAAAAAAGGCACATCAGGAAATTCATGGAAAACATCAGATTGTAAAGTTGTAAACTCCACAGAAAGAAACATAAAGGAGCCTAAATAAGTTAGAAGGGAAGGAACCAGCATATGAAAGCAAGAATCAGGAGATACAATCTTAAATACAATTACAGACAAATCCAAATGACAAAATTTGTCATGATCAAGACAGACTTTCATGCTATACACAACAGAGCTGCTAAAGCACATACTGAGAACCTCTGGGAAACTTAGTACCAAATATGCTGATCAAGGAAAAACTCAGGATGACACAGCAGCTAAAGGTAAGTGCTAGGTCAGTGCAGGTGAAACAGGTCCACAAAGATGATTTAAAGCTGCACTTCTACCATCCTGCTTAAAGGCTACTCTAAATTTTCTTAAGGACATAAACTGCACCTACTGATTTATCCCTCCACCGTGTAACTCTTCCCTGTCCTGGAATCTCTTAGAAAGAGCAAAGCAGATGCAAGAAAAACAATATGATATAAAGGTCTACCCTTCAAACACATCTGGATGCTAACAGTCTTTAAAGCTTCATTATTTTTACTCTAAAACCACTTTGTTTTTGCTGAGCCTCCTCCTGATACTACATTAATCTACTGTGTTTGAAGCTTGTACTGTGTCTTCCTAAATAAGCAAGCTTTACTTTATGTAGTAAATTAAGACAAATATCGATGAAAAACTCCAACACATGCAAGTAATTATTTTAATAATGTGCCCTTATTAATCTGATGAAAGTGAAGGACACTGGTAATGAAACTACTAGAGACAAAGCACATGGGTATATACACATTGGGGAAAAGTTCTGAATCTTGCCAATATGGGAAGGAAGAAGGGTAAAAAGAAAGGACCTTTGTAGAAGGTCCAGAGAAGTATTTGTATTTACATAAGCATCTGTCACAATCCTTCAACAGAAACTTCTGAAGTTAGATTTTCTTAGGATCTTTCTCTAAATGCAAAATGTTTCTAATAAAATTGTATTAGTTATTGATATATATATATATAAAATAAGGAATTAATAATACTCCAAGAAGCAGAAATACTTGAAACTCAAGCAAAAACTCTCAAAATGAACCATAAATTAAAATTAACACCTCTAATACAGACAACTTAAAGTAAAGGAGAGCAATTTTTAGTTTATAGACAGATGAGTTACCTGAAACAATGCCCTGGCTAGCAAGCACCATGATGGCTGTTAAACCAATGCTAAATATAGCACTCTGTCCAAAGTTCAGGAGAGCTAAAGTAGAGGTAGTCTTCAGGGAGGCATTTTCATATATCTTCAAGAATTCATCATACCGCTGGGCTTCATATTTTTCATTATTGAAATACTACGATATACACAAAAGCAATAAACGTCACATTCTCAAATATACTAGACTGTATTTAACTAGTTATACAGTTCAGTATAAACATATTATAGGCACAGATACACACAGAACCACCCTTCAACACTTCTAACAACTAAACAGAAAAGATGGAAGATTAGTGTGTGAAGACAAAAAGCCATGAACAAACCCCAGCACATTCTGTGCTGGGAAAGAAGACATCATGGAGATCCCTACCATACTCATATTCTAGCAACACCACGTGCCTGTCCTGTAGAACTTATACCCCATTAACATCAAAACCAAACACCAAGATGCCACCAGATACTAAAAAGAAGAAAAAGTTACTGTCCTCTATCTACTAGAACACTCTTATCACTGTGATGATGGCAAATTCCCTAGAGCAGTACTTCTCATACAAAGTCTACTCCTGGGTCCTTCACAGGTAACTGCACTGCTTATCTTTACAGTTCTAGCCCTCCAGTTAAAAGAAGCATAAAGTAAGAGTAAGCCTGGACAATTTCAAAACTGCCCATAGGATTTTTTAATAGTAGCAGTCAAAGAATCAAGAGAGATCTGTTGTTTCATGCGAACAGTGTAATGGAGTGCTACAAACCACCACAGGTAATGAACACAGTACATGTGGTCATTTGAGAAGACAGTACATTGCAGGTTGCCATTCAGACAACAGTTTTGCAAACAAGAGAAGCTGCTTTAAGGCTTTAAGTTTTTGCAGAAACTGATGGCCAAGGCAATTCAGTCATGAAAAAACTTTTCACTCTATTACCAAACAGATTTTTTTAAAACCCTACTAACAACTTTCATGCTACTCTGTCACTATCATGTAGTACTCTTGCAATGAATAATGTTTTAAAATTATGTTATTGCTCCAAATACATAGCCCTATAAAAGATGAATCTTATGACTCACTTTCCTTAGGCTGACAGAAGTAAGATAAAGAGCCTAGGAGTAAAGATCCGTCTTACCTTCACAGTCTCATAATTCAGTAGCGAGTCAATTGCAGCATTACCCGCATCATTATCTGCTTTGTTCATTTCTATTCGAAACTTAGTCCTGTAAAAAGAAGGCTTAATTCAGTCAAGAGTTCAGGCTGAGGCAACACTAAGTACCATGATGAATCTGAGGGCATGCCTTACCTCCACTGTGTAATTCCTATTGTGAATGCTGCATAGGCTCCTAGCGTCCCCAGCGTTACTAAAGCGAACTCTGCACCGCATTTGTAATACTAGAATATTTAAAATAAAATAGAAGTTATAATAATTTCAAAGCTTCACTGTTGTCTCAAAATTATGATAGCTTAGCCTAAGACAAGAACTCTGAAGGTCTCTCCCAACACATTCCCTGCTCTGAACAGCTTAAGACCAAATACAGGCACAAACCCAAGAGGAAAGTAGCACAGAGAAGGGTACAGATACAGAGGTAGGAGGAGATAACCAAGAGCGAGTGCATAACAAAATACTGGCAAGTTATTTTTGCCATTATAAAACATAAATGTTGCTGATGTTTGTGCTGTTGGCACAAATAAGTATCTGTTTCTGTGCTTTTTGGGTGGATTGTGAGAGAAAGTTGAAGAGTGCAGATGAAGAAAGAAATGGCCTTGCAAAACAATTTATGAAGTGTTTTCTCTATTTTAGGGTACACCAGGAAAGAAAAGCCGCAAGAAGAAAAATTAAAGCATCATGGCAGGTTGGCTGACAGCCAGCTTGATTTGCAACTTTTAAAGGTTATAAAACTTAACCCAGTACCAACAGGGGTTTTAACTCATATTGCTACATTCAAATTTGATTAAGTTCTAAAAGGAAGGGAAATAAACAAAACAAGATTCTTGCTTTTTATTTAGTCTAAGCTACACAATCAAGATTTAGATTTTAGCATATAAATATCCAATGTTGCCAATTTCAAAGATAGTAAATATGATTTAGAAAATAAGTTTAAGATTGAGCTTATTAAGCTTAAAATCTGCAAGAAGGAGAAGCCTATTTTCCAAAAAGATAATTTTCACTTCTAAGTTCTGGATAAGAAAAGACCAGAGCATTCAGAAGAGAGCCAATAATCACTCCATCCTCAACCCACTAAGACACAACATTCCCAGACATTTATATGCTGCTTCCTCAGTATTTACACATTTACCATTATCTGGCACTTGTGTGCATAGTTTACTCTTCTGATTTCATTTTTTCAACAATTCTGAAGAAAAACATTAAAAACTATCCACATAAATATCACTGGCTAAAGACAGGCATTAAATGTGAAAATAATTTCAAATAAGCTGATTTAAAGTAACTAATATTTGAAAATTATGGATTGCTCTATTTACAGTAGTTGCTTTCACAACTTCCTTGTAAATTCAATTACTATTATTAATACTCAGTAGACTTTGGTAAAAAAAAAAAATACCAGTGTATTATTCCTAAATGAGACAATCCCAACTGATGAATAAACAACACTTACCAGAATTCCACTGACTAGTGCCACTTCGAACATGGTAGGTCCCAGATTAAATACTAAAGCGCTAAGAACAAAACTGATGCCTCTTGTTCCTCTGTCGATGGTTTTTGACAGAGCTCCGGTTTGCCTACTTAGATGGAACGCCAAATCCAGGTTATGAAGATGTAGGAAAACATTCTTTGCTATCCTTCTGATTGAATTTTGAGCTACCTTCCCAAATACTGCATTTCTAGCTTCATTAAATAACGCTGCCCCAGCTCTTGAGATACCATCTAAAAAAATATGAAGTTTACAAAACGAAAATAATTATATTTCCAACTTCCCTTCATGCATGAAATTACATTAGACTCATTCTTCATATATTTTCAACATTTTTAATTCATAGGTAATTTATACTTAATTGGTTCAAAACTTTATTTTGCTATTTTTCATTTATAAACCATCGTGCACACATTTTACATCAGTTTATTTTGCAGCTGGTTATAAGAAAGGGTAAGATTTATAATCAAGAATCATTTCTATACACATTATTTAATTTTTTAATTGGAACACCAGTAGCACGGTCAGAGAACACAGGAAATGGACATCAGCACAGAAGTAACTATGAAATAACCATCCTAGATGCTTAGGAGCGCAAAAGTCAGAAGCTCTGTTATCTCACTACCTTACTGGAGAACGTTAACACTTGCCAACAGATTTGGGAATACCACTTACAGCCAATGAGAACAGCAGTTGCCACAGTTGCCACTGTATTTGGTGCATCACCAAGGTGGAGTATATTTCCAGATACCTCGTTGAGGTTGTCTACTGCATATTTAAACATGAAGGGAACCAATATATTCATAGCCTAAAAGCATAAGAACATCAATTAGTCCATATGCATTACAACATGTATCTATGCAGCAAGACTTTTTTTCTGAAATTGCTGAACTGTTATATTTAGTCCTCAACTTCTTAGTGCAGGTGAGATGGCTCTCTTGATTTCAAGCACAATATTCTCCATACTATTAAGTCTTTACTCCTGGGACTGCAGAGTTAATTTGTTTTTCTCGCTGGCTCCTTTTATATATAAATTTTTACGCTAAACAAACTGTACACTGCAAAGGCACTTAAACTCAGTACAGCAATGGCAAGACTAGGAAATTAATCAAGCAGCAGACACTGCATGATGCACACTCACAATGCTACTGAATTATGTCATCGTTACAGGTTGTTTGATCTTTGTGATACTGGCACTGTGCAGTATGAAGAACTACTACAATTCACCCACATATTGCTAACACTGGGTCAGTCGAGATGTATTAAGCCAAAACTCTAGTGAAGTCAAAGAAAAGTTAACCTATCCTTTGTCTCTTCTGACTGTTAATACTACCTTAATATTTAAATAACGCTTTCCATTTGCAACATCACTATAAACATCAACTCAATACCTACATGAAACCCAGCGTTTGGCTCAGCAGCACAAATGACTTTCTCTACAGTCTACAAAACACTACAAATTGCTTAACAACATGAGGTTTCAAACAAAATACCAAAGTCCTATCCACAACCTAACATACAGTATGTCACTAGATATTTTTGTAAGAGCACCAAAAACCAAATGCATCTCCTCCAACAGTGGTGTCTCCTCTACAGGCAAAAAGCAAGACAGCTGCATATGTAAATTGTGGCATGAGAAAATACTGAAAATCTTAAAGAAAACATCAAATTCTTAGGTCTTGTTAACACTCCATTGTTACAAAGAACAGTAAGAGAAAAAATTGCTGTCAGACTTCATATAACTAATAATTTAATTAATTCAAGATGCTTCTAACTGAGAAGATTTGAAAGGAGGTATACAAGTTTTTTAGCAACAAGTATGTTAATTCACAAGCCTATAACCATGGCAGATGTTAAAATACTTCACAGGCAGCTGACTTTGCTTAAAGTTAGGGTTTTTTTTCAATATTTGGAAAAAAAACTGTGGGTACATGACAATTATTTTACATGCAAAGAAACAAAAAAGTAAAACAGATTGACAAAGATATTTCAGTTCTCTATACCAAATGTTTTGTATACCCACTTAGATCTCAACTGTATTTAGGGACATCTGTCAGAGCTGAAAGCCCAGTGAAAAAAACTGTAAATTAACTGGATAAAACCAGGTTTCAAGCAAAAAGAGCGGTAAAGTCTTTCATAACTTCAGCCCAAATTCTAGCTGGAAGACAGGCTTTTAGTAATGATAATAACTATCCCAGTATCAAATATTTCCAGTGTTACAAATTACTATAAGTAGTGGAAGACTGGTACTTGATCAAGAGGTAAAACTGGAGTTTTGAAAATACTTCTTTTAACTATAGGATGAAATAAAAAAAAAAAAAAAGTTAATTTTTTTAACCCTTTCTATTGTTTTTAAACACTGTTCTAGGCAAAAGTTTTAAGTGCAAATGAGGAAGGAATCCATCTTTCTCTTTCCTCCTATGTGTCCCCTATGAAATACACTAAGAAAGAGAAGAGGAAAGGAAAAAAACCCAACAAAAAACAACACTACCAAATTCTTAATACAGCATAATCTAGACAACTCCTGAGAGAAGACAGATGAGATCTGAGAACATCTAGGTGAGATTATTACTGGTTTATGAGTGACAAAACTAAACAGCTGAAAGATCAGGTCCTACTTCAGACACATTCTTCTGAAATTTATCCAGTGGAAGCCTGAGAGTTGTTCAGCAACAGCTCCCCTTTTAATAGACTGGAATTGTGGAAATCTCCATTAAAAAGAAAGACCCAAGGTTAGCATTATCTGCAGAAAGCCAACAAATACCATCAAAGCAACAGTATACAATAGTGTCTGATAACTTCAATTACACGCAGCAGACAAACAGGTTACTGCCATTACATGCTTAAACCTGAAGCATAAAGCCCCACAAAGAACTGAGGATGCATTAACAGAGATTCTGAATCTCTACAACACTGAAATTAAAATCCCCCCCCTCCCTTCCCCAGTATAATCAAAGAACACTACTTTCCCTTCAGAGTTACTGAAACTCAATTGTTGAGTGGTATTTTGTTCTTAATAAAGACAAATATACTACTATGTGCGTTACAGTGATGACCAACATGACAAAGAGCAGGTTTTCCTGGGAGAGAATACTCAGTGGAAAATAGAAAATATAAGTATTGTAATGCAGATTGTCTTTATTTGCTGCAGATTCTCACAAATCCCTCGGCAGGGATTTTAGTCTTCAGTAGACTACACTACAGGTAGTTTAGAAATAGAACTACAGATATATTTTAAAGTCCATTTAAAGAAGAGAGATGTATTATTTAAATTGCAGTTCTCCACTCACAATTAATTTAGCCAGTAACAGCCTACAATTTTGCAGAAATGTCTTCTTTTACATCAACATAATTCTACCCAATAGACTTTTAAATGAAATTTAAAGCCTGGTCTCAGGTTATAGTTGTTCTGACTCTTGGAGGGTAAAGCTTGAATAAGAACAAGGCAGCATGATATTGTATTTCATTAGTGATCAAGACAGTCTGCTTTCCAGTGGTTTTTTTTTTCTGAAGTTAATCTTACAAAGTTTATAGCAAGAGAGATGAGAGGCCATTATTAGAAACAAGCCTTTCCTACTCTGTGATTCTGTGATTTGTTAAGTCAATGAGATCACATCCACATAAACGTAAACAAAATTTCAGCTTTCTACATAAACTCACAACTACCTCTTTAGTAGCCTAGATTTGTTGGCACAGAACAAAAACCTTTAAGCACACCCAGGTAGAATATGAAAAGCCACCATGCAAAACAATTGTCTTACACAACAGACCTATACAAGTTTCCCTCTTGTTCCTAATGCCTAAAAGCTGGATAAAAACTCCCATGAAAAAGACCCTTTTTAATATCAAATTGTACATTTTCTACATATAGTTTTGAGTTAATAGCTTATCCCTTAGTCTGAATTTATTGGAAAGCAAATAGAGCACATATGAAGTCATCCCAACTCAACTGCCCACATTTAAGAGCATGTTATGCTGTAATGCATCATGCTTAAATGAGTTTAAACATTTTTTTAAATGACTGCACTGTTTTAAGCTGACAATGCATCATCATCTCTGTTCCCTTGTGGGACTACACCACTTTTAAGGCAAACAGTCTTACCTTTCATTTTGCTTTTCCCAGTATTTCTTGTTTAATAAAAATGATGAATTAGTGACAGGCTGAGCCCCAACACGATAAAACTGGTCTACAGTGAACTCTTCTTTTGCCAATAATTCAACAAGAAATATTGACCTGAAGATGACTGAATTTATCTCTGGACCAATATAAATGTAGACATCCAACAACTCAATTTGTGGAAATATAAAGAGAAAACTCCATCCCTAACAGAAGCAAGGCTGCTCAAGGAGCTACAAAAGGTGGTCAAAAAGAGGGAAGAAGCATCTGGCTTCAATCCTTCTTTGCATTTAATGACTTGAAATGTACTTTTTCCAGTAAGAGTAAAAATAAATAAATAAATAAAAATACCTTCACCTGAAACTTCTCAAAAAAGCCAACAGTTTCTAAAGGTTTATTATAATTATCTAACTCCATCTGAGCCCACAAAAACAGCTCAAACACCAAGATCATAGTACATACTTAACTGATCAGATAGGTACCATTATCTTTGCATGCAGACAAAATTTACAATACAACACTTGTGTCTTGCCTCCTTACTGAACAATTTCTTCTCCTGAAACTTACAGAATTAGCAGTCAGTAGAAATGCAGATAGTCTGAAAGATTTCTCTAGCTCATGAATAACATATGCTTGGTCTGTGACCAAGAGGCCAAAAATCATTAAGGGCTGACAGAGGTGACAAGTGATTTTGTCATATTCATGTGTTTAATCCAGCTTCTCAGAAGCCCGAGCACTTTTTCTTCTTGTGTCACAGAAGACAAAGAGAAGACACAGAAAAGTAAAGGCATACATACTCCAGCAGAGACAAAAAATAATGGGACAGGGAATATGGAAAAAGAAAAACCAGGTATGTAGATCCTGAGCAGGCTGAAAACATACATAATGCCTTGTGCACTACTCTCACCTATCTTCCCGTTGCATCTTTCCAATCACATATGTCTAGATAGGCTATAAATATTTAAAATAAAAATTTAAAGCATGTCATAATACAACAAATCTTCCAAGGGAAAAAAGACCTTACTAGCCCTAGAGCAGACTCCATCCTGTCAACTCCCAGTCATAAAAAGCCATCCAAACAGCTCACTTTGAAGGCTAACAATACTACTAGTGGTTATGTGTAGACAAAAAGGAACCAAAAATCACAATAATTTGTTCAATGACAGGCAACTGGGCCCCACAAAAGGAGTCGAGACAGATTGTAACTGCAGGCTCTTCAGTAACTGCACACAAGCTGCCTTTTGTTTTGAAATTGAATTTTACTGAACCAGAAGATTTAAAGAGACAAATTACTTCTCAAGCAGCAAGACAAGGAGGTATGATCTCCAGCTTTGTGTTTTGTGGGTAGCTAAGCCCAATCAAACCGGGTGCAAACTCATTTTTTTCCTGTGGCTGAGGATCTGTGGCTATCTCTCCTCTCATTTCTCTGGAGTCTTCTTAGAATAAAATTGAAGCCACCCTACAGCCTCTGTCCGAGAGAGTCACTATTTGATTTTTTCTTCTAACTGGAAACTTAACTTTGTGAATATAGAGGTATAAAACCTCACCAAACTCTTTTGTCAAACTCAGAAGAAATTGGCCAAATGGCTTACAAAAGTACTTCTTATTGGGGAAGGTGACTAGCAGCAGACATCGTGATCATGTAGTTCTCTATGCAAAACCCCTAAGAATGAGCAGCCTTCAGAGAAAATCCATAATAAGGATGTAAATCCTTCAGATGCAGACAAGTTCATAGTGAACAAAGAAACTGGGCTAGGACTGCAGTGAGGGGAAAGATATGCTGGCATTCTTACACTGACACAACTATATAGCAGAGAAACTGTAACCCACTGCTTGTGTGGTCCGTTAAGTACACTGTAATTAACCTCACCAGCAATCAGAACAAAGGGATCCCAAATGGGATAATAAGGAAACTGCACAGGATTATACGTGGTCCAGGCAAGCTACAGGTAAACTAACTTGTATTTCATTTTCTCTAGGACAAAGTGACCTTTAGTTTGCTCTGGAAGAAAAGCAGACGTTCAGGGCTCAAATATATGACAGACTTACTATAACTCTGTAACAAACTACTGCATGTCAGTTATGCCACATGAATCATTACATGCATACTTAGCACATGTAGAGTATGAAGCAATTTTAAGAAAACTTACCCCACAAAGGAAGAGTGGGCATAGCTCAGGTGCTGAGGGGGTAACTTGCTAAATTGCAGTTATCTGAAAACGTTTGAATTCTAACACAGCTTTGTTATTACAGAAAGGGAACAAAAAGAACATTAGCAAAGGATAGCTAGAAGACATCCAGGGAATTTTTCACCCCAGCCAGTTATATATATTCTGTGGAGAGCTTGCTGTGTGTTTTCCCAATGAAATCCGTGTTTGCCAAAACAAGTATTCTCACAAACCACTTCTGTTTTAACAGGTATCTCCCAAAACCTGGGTGAAACTCAACAGGTTTTCTGCTCTGCTTCTGGGAATCTGCTCTGGACATTAGGGCTTCCAGGCTGCCTTGTACAGAATCTAAAGTAGGAAATTTAAGAGAACACTTAGAGAGATCCAAACATCCAGTTACTTCCCCAAAGAGCAGTGTTCTGCTCTTTGGGGAAGTAACTGATTTTCTGACAGGGGGAAACATCTCTCTCTCCCAGTAGAAATGTAATGGCTCTGTATCATACCAAATGCAGAGCTATTTGCAGGAGTTGGGCATCCTGGCCAGCAATTTTGTTTTCGTTACACCCCAGAAAGCTGCTTGAAACATTAATAGATTTCCTAAAAGCAAGGTACAATGCTGCCACATGCAGGATTAGATTCTGAATTCACGTTCTCCATCATATTCATACAACCCTATAAATTAGGCAAGTGGGAGGGAAGAATAGAAGAGAAAAAGAAAAAAAAAACACTTCAAACATTTCAGAATTGCTTTCAATTATTAACATTACTAATAAGAGGTTTTAAAAAGAAAGTGAGTTAGAAGAAATTTCATATCCATCTGGTAAATGGGATTTTCTTAAATATATATGACAAAACCTCAATGAAGCAAGCATACCATCAGTTAAATATTATTCTCAGGGCAACTGCACAGTATACAAGGCAAAATGCTCCTAGCATCTGCATTTTGAGCAGCTAGTTTCCCAGATAGCTGAAGCATAATCAAAAGCACTGCTGTATAATTCGCAGAGGCACACGAGGGTGGAAGTTTACTTGTACAGACATGCCATATTCTGCATGTTGTCACCTGCATTATCAGCAACGTCCTGAACAGCAGCACAAACCCAAATACCTACTGCAGACAGCACCAGCCAGCACCTGACAGATTGCTCATGAGAAAGAGCTGTAGAGCAAAAGATTGGCCTTTCCTCTTCAGCTCAAATAAACGAGCACATTTCTCTTCCAAGTACTTTTCTTTTAACACCTACATAGCTGAAATTTGTTTCTTCTCTCTTTTTATAACATGGCAATGTTACTGAATGCTAATAAGTTGCTAATGCAACTAGCTTAAGTGCTAAAATTCATTGCTAAGCAGTACCTACTTTAGCTTATTCCAGCAAGATACTAATATTAGCTTTATGTTTGCTAAAAATTGCCATACTTAGAAGCAACCCAGTTGAGCCATACGTCTCAATGAAATTTACTCCCAATATTTTGCAATCACATACTTATTTTTCTCCAAAAGAAAAAGATTTTTTGCACAAAGCTAACATTTGCTCTTCTGAACTCTTTCTACAAGGTTTGCACAAAATTTGAATTATATCCTCCATTAACCTGCATAAAGCTTTAGCACTAATAAATACTAATAAGAGATCTTTTCACACAACAAAGTAAAGGTAAGAGCAACCCTCCATTTCATAATCAAAAGACTACAAGAAAAATCATTTGAATGAAAGCACAGTTCTATATAAAAAATAAGTTATACAGCTTCTTTCACATCAGGACACCAGAGGAATCCTTGAAACAGAAATTCCACTGTTGTCTCACAAATATCAAGAAAAGACTGTAACTTGAATCCCTTTTTCCCCAGCACATCAAGAGTTGTGAGTAGATACCACCACATTGCTCAAGTTCAGAGTAGAGAATGGGCACAGAACCTTGAAGAAATCCTGTGTGATGGATACAGCACCGCACAAGAAGAGAAGACCTGTAAGCAACCTTTAACACATTTCCTGTAACTCATGATGAAAATGATTAATTTGCGATGGAAAATCCTGGGCTAAACTAACGTGAGCAATGGAAATAAATTCTGGTCATCATCATCATCTCCCTAACGACACACACGCATATCACGTGCACACACACCCCGTTAAAAAATCCAAGCTATTATTACTAATACTATACGCTCCTCACATAGGAAACAAGCATCTTAAGATTGTAAAAGCCCTTAATAAATAATGAAAAAGAAAGTTATTCTTTGTATGAACTCCAGATAAATAGTAGCTATCACAGTACAATGAAGTATCTGTTCTTACCTTTGCACTTGCTAAAAACCCCAGCGATATGGCTACTCTGGCTCGCAGGTCTGGTCTGTCTTTGGGCCACACATAAGACAACATTGCTCTGACAATCTTTTTGGCATCTATCTCTTTCAGCTATTGGAAAGAACAAAGGCATCACATTATAAAGAGACACCAGGAAGCAAAATAACAGTATAAATAAGAATGAATTTTATACATTTGGATCACTTCTGTATTTTATTTGGTAGGCAACAGACATTTCACAATGTTTGAGACTAAGCTTGCATATTAAAATTTCACGTTCAAAATTTTTAGGTTTATAACCATGACACGCTGTTAAAACAGATGAACTGTTCTTAATTCACATGTCCTCCAGAGTGCAAGTAGAGCTAGCTGCAAACGGCATCCAGAGAAAGCTGCAATTCACCACAGCTGAAATACTTCACAGAACAAATAAACCAATCCTTCTTTTTTACCTTCCCAAGATTTCTGTACAAAATGCAAGGGCTTGGTATTTGTTCTTTGGAAGCTGTTTTAACATAGCATAGAAACAAAGGGAGGGAAAAATGCAAAAAAAAAAAAAAAAGTAACAAAAAACAAAGACAAGAAGGAAGTCTGAAAGGTCTACAATAAACATAAGTAGCCTGGAGAATATTCAGCGAGTCACAATAGAATACAGTATCTTAAAAAAATCACTAGCAATATAGCAACTCAAAAGAACCTCTGAAGCTGAACCCTTACACTGATATATAAATCAAACTGAATACAAATTTCAGCTCAGACTATTTGGTTGCATTACTACAAATTTAAGCATTTGCAACAATCACTTTCAGAGGTTTTTTTTGACATTTCATAACCCATGCAGAGAAGTGAGAAATACTCTTATTCTGCCCATATCTTTTAGAGCATGTTTTCAGGAACCCAAAGGGTAGTTCTTCACTAGGTACCCACTGAAGTTATGAGTATCAACAAGAAAATACTCTAGTGGCCTTAACTCAACTTCCAATGTCACCACTCCATTTAACAGAATGGCCCCTGAAGTTGGGTAATCTGGTAATCTGGCTTCACGAGGCAGAAGGGTATGATGGCCACATGTTAGCTTAACTGATTACATCCATTTTTAATGAATTCTTCAAATAGGTTCTCCTTCTCCAAACCTCAAATTTTGCTCTAAACAAGATCACAATTCAGTTAGCAAGTCTTCTTAAGAAACATTATGGGGTTTTGTTCGGGTTTTTGTTTTGTTTTGGGATTTTTTTTGTTGGCGGTGGTTTTGGTTGTTGTATTTTTTACAGAAATATAAGTTAATTTACAGATGTATAGATGTCTGTATCACTTACACGTGAGATACATTCCACTAAAACTCCCAAGCTAAATGTATGCTCTGAAGTGTAAACCCTGCTCCCCAATTGGGATTAACAGCACATACAGTAATGCACAGCACAGGAATCAACAACTCATTTTTCTGTGCCGGCTACCCTGGGGTTAACTTGAAAGCCACAGAGATTATCTACAGCTGAAGGGAGGGCAGCAAGTAGCTTCTAATCACTCCATTTCAGGCAATATTTTGTAGTCCAGGAAGAGGGGGAAAAACAGAAAGTTAGCCCACACCTTTTAAAGATTACTTTTCATTAGAGAAGTCAGTAGAAAGGGGGAGTTTTATGATATCTTAATGTTTTCCTCACTAGATTGTGTACTTTAAATGCTCACTCCTCAACTCTGAGGATAAACCAAATTAGAATAGAAATTCTCTGTTGAGGTCCAGTGAGAACGAGCAAGAAAGGAGAGTTCTGTTAAAAGGTAAGACTGCTGAGGCAACCAGGGAAGCCAATCCTGTAAATGTTAAGTTTTTAAAAGCACCAGAAAATTCACCTCAGTGTTTCTAGTCATAGCTTCAAAGAAGACCGAAGGGTAAGAGATACTGCATTTTGCCAACAATTGCAAATGTACTGGAGCATTACACAGGAGAAGCAAATTTCAAACGACTTAACAGATATACGGAAGATTCCTAAGTGAAGAGAGGATGCAAAACTGTTTCTGTAGTTTCCTACCCATTCAAGAGATAGAGTTACCTGCTGCAGCATATACATGAATCTTTCCACTTGAGCCAAGGATATGATTAAACAGCAGTTCAAACATTTGGAAAATATCTTTGATCACCACTTATAGGTTAAAAGGAAGTTAAAAAAAAAAAAGGTATCACAATAACACAAAAGATCCTAGTGCAACCAGAGCAGTTCTAATTATATGTTGCTACTGGCTAGTCAGACTTTGCACAGGAAAGCTATTAAAAAGAACGAAATACACTGGCTGCAAACAAAGAATCTATTTCCATTTCTTCATGGCTCTGAACGGTGACAGAAGTGAATTTGTGCAGAGAAAGAGTCAGAAGGCAGACAGTCATTTGCCAAAGGCCTTCCAAAGGAACAAGAAGAAATATCAAAGGAGATGCAAAATGCACACATATTACATCAAAGTTTACCATGAAATAAATGTTATTGTTGTACAGAAACACAAGTTGAAAATGGTTTAAATATGCAAGTGGCAACATTAAGAATTAAAATGAGCAATCTGTTTAATGGACTCAGGCTCTTTTTTGATTCTTTGTGGTATATTAAAAGGTTAAGAGATGTGTTTATTTTACCTCCTTTTAAGTGGCAAGAGTGGTTTTTTTTATTTTCTTCCAAGGCCTGTTTCTACAGAAGTGGAAGGAACGGGAGGAAAAGTCTTATAAATCTAATATAGCATGGAGCAAAGAAGAAAAGTGTTTTCTTCTTTGTGAATGCAGCATGTTTTTAAAACACACTACTAAATACTGAAGACTATTTGGAAAGGAATGAGCACTGACCATCTTCCTGTCCCCCTAATCATCCTATCCAGGTTCTGGACCTTTTAAAATACCTGAAGAGGGGAAAAAAGGAAGTCATAATTCCTCTTAAAATCTCCAAGGTAGTTACTGAGTATTGCAAAGCACTCACTGGGCTGCCACTGTGACTTTACAGATAAAGCCTATGCCAGGATGATGAGCTATCAGCAGCACGAGGGAAGAAAAGGGTCGTTTGACTTGCATTTAAGCTGTCATTGCTGATGAAGAATAAAAGACCCAGTTCTGGCTCCCTGTGTACTCACTCATAAAGCTGCATCATCATCTTTATTGTACTAACATAAGCTGTCTTGCATCTGCACAAGGTTATTCTCCAAACCACTAACAGCTTGCTTCCTCCCCCGCTTCCTCCTCCCTTTGCAGCACTCAATTGTAGAGTCCCAGCCCATTTCTCACACCACCTCTGGAGCTCGAAACACCTTGATGAACTGATTCACTTTATGAAACCAGCAGAAAACTCTTCAGTGTTTGTTGCAGGGTTTCATCTCAGTAGAGTCAGATAAACCTACAAATGCAGTAGCATGAGAAAAAGCGGGGCTGAGAACAGAACTTAACTTTTTATTTAAATAGCAGGAGATATTTAGATTGTTTCAGTCCACGAAACAGTTTGCTGTGAGTGAAACAGCAGCAGTTGTTTGGGAAGGGAGGGGTTGTTCCCACCATTGGGACACATTTTTCAGATAGATCACTTCACACTAGCTCACTATCTGACCATACAGTGACTTACTTAGCAAAACACCAAGGTGAGGAAGGAGGTAGGATTCTTTTCATAGAATCACAGACTGGTTTGGGTTGGAAGGGACCTTAAAGCTCATCCAGTCCCACCCCCCCTGCCAGCAGCAGGGACACCTTCCACTAGACCAGGTGGCTCAAAGCCTCATCCAGCCTGGCCTTGAACACTTTCAGGGAGGAGCAGCCACAGCTTCTCTGGCCAACCTGGGACACTGTCTCGCCACACTCAGAGTAAAGAATTTCTTCCTCACATCTCAGCTCCATCTCCCCTCTTCCTGTTTCAAGCCATCACCCCTGGTTCTGTCACTCCCGGCCCTTGGCCAAAGTCCCTCCCCAGCCTTCCTGGAGCCCCTTCAGGTACTGGGAGGCCGCTATAAGATCTCCCTGGAGCCTTCTCTTCTCCAGGCTGAACAGCCCCAACTCTCTCAGCCTGTCCTCACAGCAGAGCTGCTCCAGCCCTCGCATCATCCTCGTGGCCTCCTCTGGACTCATTCTAACTGGTCCATGTCTTTCTTGTGTTGGGGGCTCCAGAACTGGACACAGAACTCCAGGTGGGGCCTTACGAGAGCGGAGTAGAGGGGGAGAACCACCTCCCTCGACCTGCTACCCACATTTTTCCAGTTGTTTCATCAGCTTAAACAAATGTCAAATTAGGGCCTGAATTTTCCTTCCAAACTTTGGGAAAAAAGTAGTTATTCTGTCTTCATACTATCCATCCCTCCACAGAAGGCAAGCAATGACTAGCAAACTAAACAGCAACTGAGTGAAATGGTGGTAGGGGAAGGCTCGTTATCAGGGCTCTACCGTGACTATCAGTCTTTCCATAAGAAAGCAATATATGTCTGCTTAGCAACAAGTCAGGCACCAGTTTTTACTCCTGTCTGTTCTGTGTACAAAAGATTTACCACACACAAAAAAACCCCAAAGGTGGTAAAGAACAAGACTGTTTTCAGTTTCAGTATTCAGTACATCAGCCACTGCCGCAAGTAAAAAGTATTTTGTAAAAAACCAGATGTGTAAGCTTCTCTCCTAGTTATTGTGAGGTGAAGGTAACATGCCCTTCATAGTCTGTGTTTATCTTTAGTATTCAGTTCCGTATCCCCTGAAGCTGCTATAAAAGGGGCAATTTAAAACATTAGTCCCATAGTCCATTTTCAGAACAAACAGGCTAGTTTCTTAAAAAATTTCTTCAAGACAGAAAGGTGTAATATAGCTGACATGTATATCACCTGCAGTTTTCCTAAAAGCACAGTCCTAGGGGAAACAAATTCTCATGTGGTAAATTCGGTGCCAGTACCTTTACACACTGAATACAAGTACATGTATACACAAATGTGAGAACTGCACTTGTAACATCAGATTTCCTTCCCTTCATTTTTGCTGAGAATGTCTTGGCTTTTGCACCCAATGTTACTGGGTTTTTCCACTCTTCACGCATTTCACCTCGCCTACAGCTAGTTTCTGCTGCTTTCTCCCAGACAATTAACAGCCGATATTTGTTTAGTTAGACAACAGCCTTAACTGACAATATCCTTCATTAACTACGTTATAGCTACATTTATTGGAATAAAAAAAGTCAGGGGATTGGCTTACACAGGAATAGCTGCAAGTAATGGATGAACAGAGAATGCTACTGGAATATTTACACTGCCTAGCAGACTGAAAAAATATCAGCCAGCATCAAAATTTCTGGCTAACATACGCCTAGTGAGTTTTAATGTTAAGGAACATCCACTGTTCCTTAACATTACTAGTGTTTTGGTAAACAGAATCTTCCATTTCCTTTCCAACCAGAGAAAAACCTGAAATTTAAATTTTTGAATGATGGCAAACTGTAGACCTTTGAAAAGGAGTAAATCCAAAGAAAATACATGATGATTAAATGCGTAATATCTGTAATGATTAAACAGATTGCCCTGGAAGGTGCCCATCACATGCAAAAGGGTTCAGTTGAAAAATGTCTGCATTTCAGAAAATTGCTTTTTAGAGAAAGAATAAAGAGCACCTCATGGTATTTCTGAAGATAGGTCAGTTGTGAAGCTGAGTCTATGAAATGGATTTGCAACTGAATCATATGAGGGTGAGTTCATTCTATGGACATAAAAAAAAAATATTTTCTATGGAGTTGAGAAAAATGAAGGTATGAGAGCAAACGGGAAACATTCAGCCAATCAACACACCCAGGCAAACAGAAATTCTAGTAGGAAAAAAACTCCAAGAACAAATAATTAGGCCCAACAGGTGTGTGATCACCAAAGTGACAACACAGGGGATAATACTCTCCTCCCATTTACAGGAGAAATACAATCTATAATAATTCTAATCCATAACATACATAATTAGGTAAACACAGAGGAGGATAGTCTGATAGATTTAAAGTCTGTTTTGCCTAGGAAATCTTTGGAAGAGCCTTCATCTGTTGCAAGGAGGGTCTTAAAATTAGTCTAAAGTTAATGTTACATGCAGAGCCAGTAGTACTACTGACTGAAAATGTCCTATTATTCTGTTTCCCCTTATGCAGAAAAGATCACAGATGTTCGTTAAAACAAGCTGGCTATACTTTAGGTTATGAAAATCCCTCTTACTACCAACGCATAAATTTTGGTAGCATCTCTCCTGACTTCTGCCTGCAGCACAAACAGGTTTGAATTCAATGAAGGGTCAGGTCAAAATTTAAGAGCAAATCCTAAGGTTAAATCTTCAGTTTCTTTACAAACAAAGCTGCAGGAAAGACGTCAGAACAGTCTGGCATGAGAAAACCAGCCCTGGGAGACCTGGATTCTGCACTGAAATTTCAGTTTGTCATCAACATGGTCTTAGGAAGATCCCACTCAAGCTTGAACAAGTTATAATCAAACAGAATAATTCTACAAATATCAGAAATAAGTTTGTGCAGGAAGTGAGCAAATCAAAGTTACATAAACTCAAGAGCTTTGACTTTGCAATTTTAATCACGCAAAGTTTATATTGTGTTGTTTTAACCAAAAGCTTGCCTCATTTTCTAACTGTAATCATTTGGTGTAAGAAAAGACACTGCTTCTCCTTAGATACCTATCATAATTACTTTAAAATATGCTTGCTGAATATAAATACAGTCAAAATACATTAACATTAAATCCAAGTAAAAATACATGCAGTTCTTGTCTCTCTCTGTCACTTCAAGTGCAATTTTACCAACTGATGAGCTAACTCATATCCACAAGCTGATTTCCACTAGCCTGAATGTCAAGTCACAGACAAATATCACTCACAAACAAAAACAACAAACCACAATAAATTACAATGGAACATACTTTCCATGAAAGAAAAAAAAATCTAACATAACACAGGCCAATTTCAAAGGAGTGTGTGACACTAAAACTGTATTTTTAATAAAACACCTGAAGCACTTCAACATAGTTATTACAAACACTTGATGATTTAACCTACATCGAAGCCTACATCGAAGATTAAAGAGTATCTACTTCACTACTATTCACATATCTACCAATACAGTTTGTCACAAGTTGTTGCTTGGGGTCTTCAGATTTATTTCCTTTGGGGTGGTGAGGTAGGGGGGAAGCTGATCACATTTTTTATTTAAAAATCAATACTAATTAAGCAATTTTTTTACCCCTTCCTTTGGATCCGTGTGAAGCCCTCCACCTGCATGACCATGCCAACACATTCGCTTTTCTATCAGTTGCAACCTCGGGAGGATCTGTGTGAAAACGTAAAGTTAATGTGTAACACGCATGTAAAAGCCAACAGAAAGAAGATCTACTGGTCTGTTTTCCCTCCCTCATCCTCCAACCGTATCAGCTTGCATTAATAAAAGATATTACCTCTCTCTAAAAACCTTGCATTGCTTAAGGAAACAATAGTAAGAAAGTAGCAGTATAGTAAAGAGCATGTTTCAAGCAGCCAGGAGGTAAAGATAACAGAGCCTTAAATATTTCAGTTCAAGGTACACCAAAAAACTGAAAAGTGGACTACAGAATACAGAAAAGAAATGGAAGTTCTGAAGGATAACTGTAGTCAGGCGTATTAATATAAAGTGGAACACACTTAAGCAGTAATACTCTTTCCATGTACGTAAAGAGTAACTTTACTTGGGGAAAAATAAAGAGATAAATCTGCTTCACACTCCTCTTTCCTATCAGGATGGGAACAGCCTACTAGTGCCATACGACAGGTACAAGGTAAGCTGGTCCAGAGCCCCTGCTGCAATCCATGTACAGCAGGCACAGGGATAGTCAGGAAAACAACCTGCTTTTTAAAAACACACACTCACTTCTCTTAGCATGTTGCCAAGATTCCCTGCTAAATACAGAGAAAATTTCTGAATGTATTAATGCACACAGATGTACTAAAAGAACAACAACTCACTACCCCTAGGCACTTTTCCAAGTTCAATTTCAAAGTGCCTGACAAAAATAATGGACGTGTTAAAGCTTTTCAAAAAGAGTCTTCATTAAAAGATTTGCCACGTGTTGACAATTTCCAGGTTCAAGTTATGTAAAAGCTCTTTAAGAATCTCATTTTATGCACATGGTTCTATAGCAGACTTCAGCATTTCCCAAATAAAATTTTCATTTTTCATACTTCAAAGAAAAACATTTAAACAAATCTAAGGAGATTTCATGCTTTGAAGTCCCAATGACCCTCAAAAGATTTTATCTGCTGAAGTCAGTTCTATGAGTGGTTATTTTTTATAATTAAAAAACCCAAAAGACAAGACAAATACATTTCCTAGCTTCATTCAAGCAAAGTGTGTTACCTAGAAACGTGCCATAATTATTCCATGAATAGTAAAAATTGCATCTTTCTTACGTTTACATTAGTGTTAAGGCAAGCAGACCTCATAGGAATAAGAGCCTGACATCCTGGTACTCAGTATGATGAGAATAAATTCCACAGTTTCTGGCTATTCCACAACCTAAGCAGAATTTAGAAGTAATAAAGCCCTATGTACTCAAGAAAAACTCAAAGCTTTCTATGCATTGGTATTTTCTATGCCTGACAACATGAATCCAAGTATCAACACAAAACCTACATTTTTAAGAACTCTTCTTTGGAAGTTACTGTATTATCTTTAGTTGTAGAGACTTAAAAAGACTTCTTGAGGAAAGTGCAACAGTCTGAAGCTTCTAAGCAAAGTTATGTCTTTTCCTAGAAGCAGAAGCATAACTTCTTATTTAACATGCTGCACTTCAGAACTGTAAATAGTGAAATTAAAAAAAACCACCAGCCTAAACAGAAAGATGCTCCAAGGGTTTGAGTTTCCTCTGACCTCAAGTAGGAAGAACAATTTATACCTACCTCTGAACCCTCTAATAACGGCCTTGAATAATCTCCCCCAAGACTGTGCCATGATCTTTGCTTGCAGATTGGTTGAATCTACAAAATAAAAAGGGGGGGGGAAAGAAAAGTTAAAATGGAGTCATGCAGAACATGCACTTCACATTCAGAGAATATTCATCTAGTTTATGTAAACAAGCACAACACAAAAACAAGGCAGATGGCTTTGTTTTTTAACAACTGACCACAAAAAAAGAAAACTGGTGGGGAGCAGCTGTAAAATAAATTACATCCAACCATTAAAAATGCTAAGTGACAATGAATCTTTTCCTCCCCTGAATCCCCATTCCCATCAGACTTTGTTTCTTTTGTACCATGAAAGCCCAAAGTTTTCCCTTTCCTCTCATTTTAATTTTCTCACAGGTTGTCTGCTGCCTTCTTTCAAATATTCTTTTGTTCTCTTTTTCATTATGAATAGTTATTCATATGCTTAGATGTTCTGTCATTTCCACTTCCTCTCAGCTCAGCTTATGCCATGCTTGTCTTACAGAGGACGAGGCTAATCAAAGCTACAGCCCTTGACTGGGATGCACTGGGACTATCAGAAATTAGAGCACAACTGATTAAAAGTTTTAGGTAGGCAGGACACAAGATACCAAATATTCACACATCCATCAGTGGATCTTTAATAGATACACTGCTAGGTGCCAACTGTTGTATGCTTTACATGTTACATTGAAAGCAATTAATTTTCCAGAAGAGTTTCAAAGGACCATTTATTTTCCATAGGTGGCCTAGCTGGCAGTGCTTCCCCAGCAGCAAAACAGAGACCTCTCTTTTGGTTAGCAATGATGGTGCCACATCATCTTTGACACATTTAATATTGAATCTCTTACTGCTCTGTTGCAATATTAACCATACATCTCACACTATATAAAAATCACCACTACAGAGCAAAATAGCCAAAGAACTGCTCATCAGCCCAAGGCAAAGGACAAATGTCAAAAAGGAAAAAAAAGAACTCCAACATAAAAAAGAGTATTTTTAACCTTGACAAACAGCAGCACCGTCATATATTTTATACCTTGCCTTAAACATTCCTTCCCTCTTGTCCTAAGACACATAATTTAGTCAATCATTTTTAGGCAAATGAAGATCGTTCCCCTACAAGTCACCACATGGGACCTGCTTATTTCAAACATTTCCACTATATGACATTACATATAGAGAAAGAGTCAGCATTAGAATTTAGTAGAGCTAACTGGCCTGGGTGAACTGCCCTGACGCTTCCAAGACCTGGGCTAAATGAAGGAGCTGCATTTATAAAGTACTTCATTGTAGATACACTCATCACTTCACAGTTTCATGTTAGCACAGAGGATTCCATCCAAACTAATACGCTCTCCATATGAACAGTGACAGTTTCATAAACAGAAAATATAATGGAAAAAGAGAAGGACTTCAAGATGCCTCAGCACATCCCAAGTTACTGCAAATTAATGTGATCATTACAAAGGCTATTTTGAATAAAAGTTCCCACCAACACACACAAGAGGAGTAAGCAGTCCTAGCAGCAACCACTATCATGGCATTTAGGAAATCCCTAGAATCCAACACCAAATTAAGTTGTATAACCAACACAAAAGGCAGTAGTGTTCTCTAATTCAGCAAAGGCAGTTACATCAATACAACTCCATCTGCTTCACCAGTCAGAGGCCATTCAGAAATAAGGACTAAACCAGGACAATTTAGAATTTATAGTGAAGATATGATCCAGAGTGAGAGGCTTAATGAGATTGAGTTCCTGTCTCCTACAGCCTAGAGAACAGTCAGCATACTGAAACTTTCTGCCAGCATTTATTCTTCTTCAAGCACATGATGCTGATAAAAGATTGTTAAGACACCATGCCAAAGAGAAGTTTAGGGGCTGATGAACCACTGCTCACAACTAGGTTTTGGCTTCTCTTAACACAGCTGACACTCCTTCTGGGCAGTATCATCCTCTCCTGCTTGGTCTTGAAAGAAAAAACTTGAGTAGTGTAAGAATTGAAATTCAGGTATTTGATTCTGAATGCTTCTTTTTGTCATTGTTGCATATTCCTAGTACACAGGAATAGACAACTGATGCTCCAACAGCTATTGGAAAGAAGCTAATTACTGTTCTTCTAGAGAACACTCATAGTACACCATAAAAATATTTTACTAACAATTCATATCCTTTGACCCCAAAGTTTGCAGAACTCTCTTCTGATTGATGTACGAGACAAACTATCAAAGAAACAACTTCTCTTGAAACACCAGCAGATCTGGTCTCAGTTACTGTATTAGACAGCCTGCTTACTTGACTGAAGCTATGAACTGCCATGGGGTTAAGAGATGAATACAGTGAAAAGATGAAGAGAGTTGCACAAGGTACACAGGAAAACTTGTTCATATTTTGAGTCCTGAGCCTGGAAGACTGAGGGTTCCAATCCTCTCCCAAGCTCCTGCTAAAAACCAAGTCTCAGCAAAGAAATAAAGACTTCAGCAGGGTGAGTAATTTACTTCACTGGTAAGTCCTCCAGCCATCATAGAATTATTGGCAAAACTGCCCAAATGAGTGGGACTGACGCTTATCCTCTCTGCACATCCTGCAGGCAGACTGGGGACTCCACTTTCCTCCACTACAACTTTTCCCAACAGATTTAAGACTACAAAGGAAAGGCATACTTGGACCTTATTGCAACAGATAAAAGCATCAAGTTATTGCTTTAAAGTAGCCAGAATAAGTCCTGCTTATTTCTGAACTTAAGAAACCACGCAGAGAACTTTAATTCTAGCATTTCCTAACTTTTGAATGCCTGACTTTGCACCATTACGTTCTTTTAATGTGTTTTTGGATATGATTCTATATACTCCAAAGGATGAAACAGATGTCTAGTGCTGATTGCACATAAATGTCATATTGCTAAAGTGTCATGACTGTTGGTAGTGGTTTAGAGACTATAAATGCAAACAACCAACAGGGATTAAACACATTTGCACAAGGTCAAATCCACACTTAGAAGGTCCTCTCTGGAGTATGCTATGTACTGTTCCAGACATACTGCACTTATCTAATGGGGATGGTTTTTTTTTTAAACTAACTGTAACAGAAAAGATAACTGAAAGTAGGATTCAAGTACCTGTGTAGTATTCAACTCCCACTGTTAATTTTGCTGAATATGCGAGGCAAGAAAAAATGAATAGGAAAGAGCAGATGAAGATGAGAGAAAAAGTGAAAATATATAGCATAAATATAGACTAAACTGTCAGCAGTATGAACAACATAAACTTCAACTGGAGTCATGTTTAACAATGGCCAACATGCAATTGCTCTGTACACACACCCAGAGCAAATGAAACCAAGAAGGTTTAACAAAAAGATACCTTAAGGAGTTTCCCCTGTAACATCTTAGTAATACAGCCTCACATTTGGCTTGCTTTGGTAAAACACGTCTCGATGGCCGAATGGAGAACCCACATAGCATCAACAGCTGGCACCCCAATGTACACCACAGCACTACAGGGAACACTGCTTGCTCTGTGCCTGCCCCTGTATTCCCCAAATCCCTCTAGAAAGGGATTTTGGAAATGCAAGGAATTTCAAATAGCCTGCTACAAAGCACGTCTCTGTCAGTAAAGACTGTTGACTAATGGAGGATGTTGATTAATAGTTCTCGTGCATCAAGCTGTTCAACTAGAGCAAAGTCTAGAGAAGGGAATTTATCAACACACACATGAAGTGATGTCTGGACAACAAACATCAGTATAACTTTACAGAACAGACCAGGCTTCGGGTACGGAGAAAAAAAAAAAAAGGCAAAATATACATAAATTCAACAAAAATACCTGAAACTTCTCTTACAACCACTTCCAGAGCAAAGGATACTACTAAATTATGCAGAAGAACACATTCTTTATCACGTGTCATGTGGCAGCTGGAAGGGCAAGATAATGCAAGGAAAAGAAAAAAAAAAAAGGTCTCTTCTATTTTTTATCGTTACACTTACAATAATTTACAAAGCCTGGCTTTCTACAACTGCCAAAGTCCTCTCTGAAAGAAACCCCTCAGTGTATTTCTTGACTGATATAGATTCCTAGTAAAATAATTATTCTTAGTCAAAAGCTGTTGGACCTTTTAAGTCAAATGCTATTTTCCTTCCATTTAAGTTTTAGATTGAATAGAATTTGTCATTGCTTTTATTTTGGATGCAGGCAACCTGCTCTACAAAAAACCCCAAGCTTCCTAGAAAAAAAAAACAAAAAACAAAAAACAGTCTTTGTTCAGTTACTTTTCAAAGTTTACCACGCAGACCACATCCAACATGCCCATTCTCGCTATTTCTGCAAAGGAGAGATCCTAAATTCAAAACAGGAGTTTTGACACGATGAACCCCTGCCTACTCCAACTGAAGGAGGGTGAACTGAAGAAGCTACATTTATGGAAATACAAACTGATCTCAATATCAAGAAATGGAGTCTGATCACAGTTCTGCAATATTTGCAACATCTGTTTTTCACCTCCATAAATTTAGCTACTTCCCTCTCCAGGATACAAATGTTACATGTCTTATTACTCAGAAAAGCGAGACTTTAATCAAAATTACCGAAAAACCTAAGTGTGAGGGAAGAAAGACACAGATCTGTAATGCAACAGCACCCAAACTCTACTACATTTGAATTGTTGTACTAAGTGGCATAGAAGATACATATATTATATTATAAAACAATTAAGCTTACAATTAATTGTAAGCTTAAAAAAGCTTACAACTGAAATGAAACAATGAAGACAGGGGAATCAAGTACTGCACAGATGCAAAATAGAGTAGAAGGATGACAAGCAAGTGTTTGAAACAATTTTTTCAAAAAGAATGGTTAGTTAACTTTGCTTTTACGGTCATATTTCACCATAGCTGCTTCCTTCCTTTAATCACATTTTTTCTCCCGAGTTGGCTATGCTGTTTACCAGTCTGAGCTGTAGAAGGCACAACTCAACTGACACAGCTCTGCTGTCACAAACCTCTGCCACTTGTGTAGTTACATCAATAGAAGCAGAATTGTGGTTGTACAGTTGATTTTACTGACAAAAGTGATTTTACTACAGCAATGAGAAGCGCCGTGTTGCTGGTATAACCATGTCACATGAGGTGTGTCCTCCTGGGAAGGCCCTCACTATTTAGGAACACTTTGGGGAAGAAATGTCATTAAAGCCAACCATCTGCATTTCACAAGTGGCTGGGTCCTGCCATTCTCCCATCTCATGTGAGATTAAGAGGCAACGGGCATTTATTTCACTTTTACTGCCCTTGGTTACATTCAACAAGCTAGTGCAATATCTAACCCATATTTGATACTTAGAATTCAGCAATAAAGGTAATAGAAGAGCTTTCCCACACACTAAAGTATATATTCTAAGATGTGCCATCACACAGTAGCCTGGAGGCTTTCACGAGAACACATGCTATAAAACATTACTTTCATTAAACCTTATTCCCAGATGACTGTGAAGCTTGCAGCTTAGAACCACAGCAAATGAGCTTCAGTTGTTTTAAATGCAAAACCAGGTGTGTTTCTTCAATTTCTTTAATATATAGGAAAGCTTTCAGAATAAGCCCATTAAAAATACTTAGAGTCCTCATCAGTGTATAAACACAGCAAAACAATTAAATAACTGAAACTAAAAATAGGATGCACATACTGGCTCACAGATTCTTTTAAATGTTGAATTATCTAATTTATAAAAAACTATGATAATCATCACTCTGAAATACAGAGAAGTGCTGAAGTGCCTAACCAACTTCTGACAGTTACTTCTGTTGGTGCAGGCACAATACTGCTTGAACTAGCTGAAAAATCAGAAGGGGGAAAAAAAAGAAAACTGAAATCACAGGACAGTGCATTTTCCTCTGTCAGCAAATTTCATTAAACGTTTAAAAAAATCATGTCAACTAGTCCCAAAATTTTGAAGGACATTATAACCAAAAACTCCAGAACACCAAGTTTGAGCCTCCTGCTAGATAATAATAAAATAAATTTGCACAACACACATAAAACGTGTTGCCTATTTGTCATAATGTGGCACAAAGTTTTTATTTAACAAAATGTAAGATCTTGCTCACGCATTTAATGAATTCTAATTTTTATCCAAATAGACCTTGATGAAGAAGTGAAGTAAAAATTAATCACCAGACTGTAAAAAACAGAAATGCATCACTGACCACTTTTTAACACAGAAATGTCTAGAAACTAGAAGGCCAAAGAGATGTGTGTATATATATATATATATATATACACATACACTACAGGCATAGCCTTAGCTTTCTAGTTCAGAAAATCTAGTGCAAGTCAACATTTAGCAATGTCTGGCAATTAAAACCTGTCAGCAAGGATTTACATTTCTCACATGAAAATAAAAACATTCAAAAGGAAAACAGGATTATAATTAACACTTCTACATCTCACACTCTTGTTTATTCACTAACATCTGAAATAAGTTTCCAGAAACACTGGACAATTCTAGAGTACCCACATATATTTTAATGTATCCAAATATAAGCGGTCGGCATCAGCTTCAATTCTCAACTTCTCGTCTTGCACAAGTTTCAAAACTAAAACTCCCCAAAATTTACTACTTCAGTTCTGCTCATCTCATCTACTAAGTAATATGAAATTGACTGTAGTCCCTGACAGAATTCTGCCTGACAGGGGCAACTAATCAAGGCAGGTGATAATGAAAAGCTAGTCATAAACAGCACTACTCTTGGGGGAAAAGGAAAGGACGAGAGCAAAGGAAAGAAAAAAGTTATTAGCAAACAGAAATAATGGCTATTTCGGAGTTTACAGAAAGTTTACTCAGTCTTTGAGCTATACTTCCTTCACTCACTCTGAAAAAGGCATATGAATTACTGAAAGCTGGACTCATTCGATTTGAGCTATATACTGAATTCTTGTAACAAAAGAATGATTCACTAGAACATGTTACAGCCTTTCACTGCTGACAGAAAGAATTCTAATTCCCACTTCCTTTAAATACATAACGGCAAAATTAGCTGTCAGCACAAGTTACTCTCTAGAGCGTGTTTAGCACCCGTTCAGAGGCACTGCCTTTTCAATGCTTGCCCACTAAGAGACGATCGAACGCCCCGTGAGCAGACGGAACGGTCACCTGGACACGAGCACAATGTGGGGAGAGGCTCGGCCCGAAGCTGCCTGGGCCCAAACTTGCCCAGGACTTCACCAGCCAGGACCAAACCCCTCTCCGCACACGCTGCACAGGGAGCGCCGCGCCATGGACCCCTCAGACCCTCTCCAAGGGACCC